CTCGGGCAAATTTAAGTGCGGGATTCATTTACATGCGTGTCGACAAACCTCATTTACGCCATTGAATTCGTTAAATGCCAATTTACTATATTGGCGAAACAAAACGCCGCCTTGCGGATAGGTTTGTTGAACACCTAAGATTTATTCGCCTTAATTTGCATGGTTTTCCGGTTGCTGACCATTTTACACAACCGGATCACCACATTGATGACGTGCGTGTTTGTGGCTGCCAACTGACACCATATTACAATACCTCACCGTCGACACATGACTGAGCAGAAATTAATTCTGAGGGTTGGTTGTTTGAATCCAGGGGCATGAACGATAACTTAATTACGTGTAATTTTTGAGTCATGCTTCGTTGTGTGTGTATGTGTGTGTGTGTGTGTGTGTGTGGTGTGTGTGTGTGTGTATATATGTGTGTGTGTGGGTGTGTGTGTTGTGTGTGTGTGTGTGTGTGTGTGTTGTGTGTTGTGTGTGTGTGTGTGTGTGTGTGTAATATATATGTGCGTGTTCTGTTGCCGTCCGTATTCATGGCAACGCGCGAATTGTGTGACTCATTCATTTTTGATTATCTATAACGCATTGTATTTGTTTTGATTATTTGATTCTATGCAAATGTCTGCTGACCTGATGAAGAGATGTAATCTCGAAAGCTTGTCAATTAAACTTAAACACCTGATTAGGCATCAACACTCGTCGAGATAACTTTTGACCCGGTACACAGCTACACAGGCCACCTCTGCACATAGCTGGCATGCCTTCACGCACGCACGCCAACCGCAATCAGCAGCAGCTGATCGGGCTCAAATCTCCCAGCGAGCCACTTGCCCGCCGAGTTAGCAAGCTGTGGTTAGGTAGCTGCCTTTTGTTTGAATTAGAGGCGCGCGAATGGATTTGGATTGATGGCCAAAGAATGGAGAATCGTGTCGTACGTTTCAGTCTGTATCTCCGGATTGCGGGTGTATACGAGGAAACGATTTCGCACGATGCTAGGCGTATGTACTGTGTCCGATTTGAGCTCAAGTTGGATGAGTTACGCGTAGTAAATCGTAGGTATTATAAGGCTAGTAAATGACGAATTTCCCTTGTTTATTGATGTCACACTCCTTCCCTATTATCTACTCCTGATATATATATATATATATGCCGTATATTGCATATATATAATATCTATATATATATAAAGTTGTTCACCTCCTACCAGCCCCCCGCCCCCCGCCGAATTAGTCCGTACTCGCATAACTAGAGAACTCCGCACCTAGAGGAAAACTAAAGATATTTTCAGAATCAGCACGTCTGGGAGAATGGTTATGGTTCTGTCTGAGAAAAAAATTTTAAGTTAAAAAGTTAAAAATTGATAAAAATTATATTCATCAATAGATGGCGGTGCGTACAGATTAACATCACGTACGTGTGAATCCAGGGTGTATACCCTCAACGGCGCAGTGGCCTAATCCTTAGGGTTCGAGTCCCGACTGGGGAACATATTTTCCCCTTTTTTCCTTTTTTCCCTTTATACCTACCTCTTTAGTATGTATTATTTTTAATTTTTTACTTCTTTTTTTTCTTTTCTTTTTAATGTCTTTTATCTTTTGATTTCTTATGATTTTTTACTGTTTGGGATGGGATGGGATGGGATGGGATGGCATGCGCTGGGATGGGATGGGATGGGATGGGATGGGATGGGATTGGATGGGATGGGATTGGATGGCATGGCATGGCATTGGATGGGATGGGATGCGGTGCGATGGGATGGGATGGGATGGCATAGCATGGGATGGCATGGCATGGGATGTCATGGGATGGCATGGGATGGCATGGGATGCGATGAGATGGGATGGGATGGGATATGGGATGGGATGGGATGGGATGCCGTGCGATGGGAAGGGATGGGATGGCATGGAATGGGATGGAAGGATGGATGGATGCATGCATGCATGGATAGATAGATAGTTAGATTTTTTGGGTATTTTCCTTTCAACCAAGCGGTCACCAACTGAGCAACGCCACTGATTTCCTCGGGCAACGTCGGGTATCCCGCTAGTACATATATATAATATATGCCGTATGTAATTGAGGCTTTCACAGGCTTAAGTTTACCTTGTGCGTTGCTCTTTTGCGTGGTGATGCCATGTCAGTGTGTGTGCAAACAGCACGTGGCTAGTATGAATGCCACTATCTTAAAAAAAGATGGTCTGAAAGAAATTAACTAAATTTAAACTAAACGAAACCTTGAACCACATAGCTTGCCCCATGCTTGAATTCCCAAGTGCTTAGTTAACAATTAAGTCCCAATACAAGTGCGTCGCCACTTGCGAAAACACTATTTTATGTTTCAATGACATTCAGGTTTCGCTAATACCTTCTAACAATTCCTTGTAACTTGTAAGAGTAGTATTTGGGTATCCACGAGTTGTTCATGTAATGCCAACGAATTACACAAGATCTCATGGCGCGTATACTAATGAGCGCTAAACGAGATAGATATTACACTGCAATCAGTGATCACTTCGTCCAAACATAAACACGAACCCTACTGATATTCTAACAATCAAGGCGACGGACCTGGGACGTCGGTAGTCCGTCCATTGATGCTTCTGATTCTAGTTTCCGCCGCGCGAGGGCAGCACCGCCATGAACGCCCTGCGGAATGTCTTGCTCTGTCCGGCGTAGACGAAGAAGTTAACGCTCGAGTTGCAGCAGGCCATCACGTGTCCCACCCCGCGCAGCATCCCCAGCGGCTCCCGTCGCACCTCGAACACGCTCAGCAGCATCATGGCGAAGTACGGAGACCAGCAGACGAAGAAGGCGCCGACGACGATGCTGAACGTCTTTGCCAGCTTCAGATTCCTAACCAGCGCCTCGGAGAAGGAGCGAAGCTCCTCCGGGAGCTCCGTCGGCTGCGAGGAGCCGCTGCTCGTCGTCGGCGCCGGCAGCGGCTGGATGCACCGACGGTGTCGCCTAGCGACGAGCATCATGTACGCATAGATGACGACGATAGCGGCGCCGCAGATAGCGACGAAAACGGCGTCCAGAAGGAGCGTCGCCTTGCCGCTGATGACGTCATACAGACACGGCTTGTCGGGGGACCAGTTGTTATCGACGAAACTGACGACGCCGACGACGATGGCGACGCTCCAGCTGATCGCGATCATGGCGGAGACCACGCGCGGAGTCATGACTTGATGGTAGCGCAGCGGACGCGACACGGACACGTAGCGGTCGACGTTGATAGCGATGAGCGTTGTCAGGGAGCCGAACGCGAAGCAGGTGATGACGGCGAAGTGGCCGACGCAGACGACCATCGGTGGCCGATCGACGACGAACGTCGCCGGCGACAGCAGGCCAAGAACACCGAGGCCGACGTCGGCGACGGCGAGGTTGGCGATGAGCGTGTGCGCCGGCTCCTGCAGGTACGGCGTGCGCGTCACCGCCAGCACGACGACGGCGTTGACGACGATGTTGACGACACTGACGATGATCATCGGGTAGGCGAACCACTTGGGAATGCCCTCGGGCACGGCGCCGACGTCCGTCGTACCCGCGCTGCTGCTTCCGACGACGGCGCTGAGGTTTTCGAGCGCCGACAGCGAGAGGTTACTCGGAGGAAGGTTGTACAATGAAGCCATCGCGCTGCCGACTGCCGACTGCGACGTAGCACGGCCGGAGGTGACAATGCGACGCCAGCGCGTGATGCACTTGATCTCGCGCATTCGCACGTATATTATATATATATATATATATATATATATAAGAAACGTGTTCATTAGCGCAAGCAAGACTGTCGCCGTGTCGCGGGTTTTATCGCACGAACGCCATTCAATCTAACGGTATGGCATTCAACGATAGTCACTCCGCGGCAGACTAGATCGCGGACGGACGCGTTTGAAGTGAAGGATGAACAGAGGTCGTGTCTTTCAAAACCATTTGCATGACGAATTCTGACAGATTCTACAAACAGATCCCATTATTCGTATCGGACACAGGAATATATTAAAAGCAAATACAATGTCGCATGTTTACTGTTCATATGCGTATGTACTCTGTCATTACTGGCGAAGGTGGTTTTTTCCGAGCACCTAAACAGCTGCAAACACACAGACACACACACACACACACACACACACACACACACACACA